TATATGTATGACTGAAGCATTATGCTGTGCACCAGAAATTGTCACAACATTGTAAACTGACTATACTTCAACTAAAAAAAAAAAAAAACTCTGAAATTAAAAAAAAATTACCACTTACAATTGCTCAAAGAAATACATACGAATCTAACAAAATATGTAAAACAAATTTATACTTTTAAAATAAAATTTTAATTTATAATTTTTAAATAAAAAATTTTTAATTTTAAATAAAATAATTTAAAAATTTAAAAAAAAATCTAGTCTTTAAAAAAAAAAAGAAAAAAACTCTAGCTGGTGCCACTAGGACCAAGATGGGGATGTTCAGGAAGCATGTCACTTGTTCGCTTTGGTAGCTGCTGCCCTGAAACGCTCAACCCCCACAGGCAGCTAATAAACACCCAGAAAACCGCAGGTGGCCAAAGTACCCTGTCATTCCTCATCTCTGCCAAAGATGTCCAGGATGACATCTCTGGCTCCTTTCTGCAGCTGCCTGGCCCCTGCAGGGATGGCTACCACCTGGGACAGTGGATTCCCTGAATATCAACCCCAGAATCCGGCAGGGTAATTGTTAGCCAGCGTGAACGCTGATCACTGAGCGAGCCCAGCAGTCTGGTGAACGAGAGGCATCTTTGTAGCAAGGCAGTCCCCCCACAAGACAATCCCCTCAACTAGGCAAGAGTGCCAGAGAGAAACCTTGAACACATTAAGCCCCCTGCTTGCTGAGAAAGCAAGTTTCAATGAAGGCGGCGTTGCCCTCCCCCACCCAGCATTGTAGATCCCAAATGAGTGCAAACTCCACCTCCTTCCTGAGCTTGTGACCTTGGGCCAGCTACTTAAATCTCTTAGCCCCTGTTTCTCCATCTGTAAAATGGGGGTAATAACAGTACCTACCTGATGGAGGGCTGTGAAGCTTAAATGAAACAACAGAAGAAAATTGCTTTGCCAGAACTGACGCAGCCCGGGACGTTGTCGACACACAATAAATGCCCTTTGCTACTGCTATCACCATCTTCATCATCATGACAAGCGATTCCATAACATAATGAACAGCAACGGCCCCTCAAGCTACCCTTTACTGAGACCCAGTGCTCTGAGCGCTGACCCCCATGCTAGGAAATCATGCAGATTTTTTTTTGTCCTCACTACATCTTTGCCGGATAGAAACAGACCCACGGGGGTCCGGTGACTTGCCCAATGATGTGTCAGCCACCACTTAGTTGCTATAAACCCGAAATCACTTCCGCCAGCCGGTAATGAATGATGGATAATTACTCCTCCCAGGTAGGTGGTGTTTTTTTTTTCATTCTGAAGAAGACTTTAGGGAATCACAGAGGCCACCTGGGCTAAGTCAGCTGGGGTGAGAGATGCCCTCCAAGGAGCCACAGGCACACACCTTATTGGACCAAAAGTGGTCCATGGGTGGAGGGCATCCCAACCAACACCACAGGGACAACACGACGCACGTGAACGCAGCGTGGGCTCAACACAGCGAGGACGGGGAGGTGAGCCCAGGGTTCTCTGCTTCTCCGGGAAGCAGGTTCACGCCTGAGTCAGCATCATCCACTCTGAGCAGCAGAGTCTGATACTTGTGTACTGTCCACGGCTAACCTTAGAGACAGATTCCTCATACACCAGAACTCCGTCTGCTTCCCCTCCACCGCTAATCACCCCCAGACCAGGGAAGTCGGGTGATTCGCCCAAGTCCTTCTTGAAGCCCATCTGAAGTGGTGAGGAACCTTGAGGGTCCAAGTCTTGGCCACTGTGCAGCCAGAATCTGCCTCATGCTGTCCCCAGGCATTATTACCATCAGGGGGAACAAGAGGTGGAATCACCATGCTTCACACCGAAGCCACGGACAGAGCTGACAGTGACGAACAGGCAGACAGACTCAGCCTGGCAGGGACAGCCTCAGAGGCTCCCTCGGCCGGGTCATGGGAGGAAAGCTGGCCTAGGGGTCCAAAGGCAGGAAGTTCTCTTCTGAAACTCAGCGTGGCATGAGGACTGGACAGTTAGAAGCGAGGGGGACCTGGCGCTGGCAGCAGTGTTCTCCCAACAGCCCCGGCCCAGAGTCTCCAAAGCCAGTTCTGAGTCAAAAGATTTGCCTAGGAGAAGCCTCTTGGCATACACACTGAGTAAGCCTGAGAGTTTCTAAGCTCTGGAATGAAACTTCAGGGAGTCTTTTATTGTACAGTTGGGGAAACAGAGACCCAGTTAGAGAAGGAAAGACGAGATGCACATTGGAGTTGCATCTGGATTCAAAACTTGCCCCCTGGGCAAGATCACTTGCCTTTCTGAGCCTCAGTTTCCTTATCTGTAACATGGGGATACTCATGTCTGCCTCAAAGGTTGAGGTGAGCCTTAACTGTGACAATGCTACTGACACGGCTGGCAGGGACAAGTCGCACAGGCAAACGGTGACATCACTGAGACGCCAGCTGAGAGCTTCTCATTTCCCGATCTGGAGTCAGTTCCACCAGGCTGCCTCTGTTTCCCGTATTGTTAGGATCAACAAACACGGGACTGGACCATAGGGTTCAAGCTACCATTTGGGTTACACACTTGTTCTCCCGGGAGAATCAATGCTATCTTTTTCCTTTCCTGGAGATCAGGGTGGCCTCTTTGCATTACAAGGACCAGGACGGTCCAGAGAGGCAGCTATGCTTCTAGGGCCCCTTAGTGTCGGCCCTGATGTGAATTAAGTACTTTGCTCCTGCCAACAGGCAAGCAGGGAAGGCTCTCCTCTCAGATGGTGACGGGGGCAGGCATGAAAAGTGGGGAGCCATGATGAATCCTTGCAAAACTCTCTGGCAGAAGCAGGGGTGGAAATGTGCAAATTTGTGTTTTTTTCCAAGCAAACTGGAGATGTGTCTACTCTGGCCAGAATGAAGTGCAGAGCCATGGTCAAACCCTCAGAGGTGGCCATGGTAACATTCGCTCATAGGATGGAGATGCTCGAAGACAGATGGCTGCCGGTGGCAGCTGCCCAGTGTCACGCCAAGGTAAATTCCAAGCACTCTTAGGGCCATGAGGGAGTTATGGGAAAGGGAAGAGGAACTGAGAGGCCGTTAGGCACAGCTTCAAAATTAATCATGGAGCCAGAGGATGGAAATACTACCAGGATAAGGAGCTGATAAACATCAGAACAACAGCTACCATTAATTAAGCACTTACTGTGTGCCAAGCACTGGGCAGACACCTTGACTCGCATGAGGCTACCTAATCCTCACACCCATCTGTGACGTGAAGCTCTCATTATCCCCATTTTACAGGTAAGGAAACTAAGTCTCAGAGAGGCTCTGACCTTGCTCGAGGTTAGCACACAGCTCACGACTCACAGAGCTGGGATGGGAACCCAGGCGTCTCTCCCCAGGGCCACGACACCCCGCCCCACCCTACCGCTGTTACACACTGGCTATGCCATCACCCCTCTTCCTCATCCAGGCTCACCACGCAGCCCTCTGACTGCCACACAGGCCCACCCACCATCACAGAGCGTTTCTGGTCTCTCTGACAGTGATTTCTCTTGACAAATTGATAAATTAGCCTTCTGGTGTTGACGTGTGTCATGGGGGCTATTTTAGCTTGCTTGATTCAGGGCCTATGCCCTCTGCGCGCTGAGATAAGCCAGGCTCTGGAACGTCTCCTAACTGATGTCCACGGGGTACCAGATCCTCCTCTGATTCCTGCGGTGGGTGCATGAGACACATTTGCAGACTGTAAGCTGAGTTCATGGTTCTGCCCCAGGCCGACCAGCTAGCTGGGCGAAGGCAGAGCTTCTGAACCCAACAGTCCGGACACTGGACATTTGTGTTGGACGTTCCATGTGCAATTTTCCAGGGGAAAGAATGAACAGATTTCATCCAGTTCTTAAAGGGTCCGTGCCCCCCCCAAAAAAGCTGAAAACCCCTTATATAAAGTTACAGGATAGAACCTCATGTTTAGAGAAAGGCATCTTGCTGGCTCTTTGAGGAATCTCATCAAGTCAAATCACGCATGATAGTTAAGCTTGTACACTCTGGAGTTAGAAAGAATCAGTTCAAATCCTGACTCAACTTCTCAATAGCGGTGTGATTTTCAGCAAGGTCTTTGATGTCCGTGGGCCTCAGTTTCCTCATCTATACAATGGGATTAATCCATCTGTACAAGTGACTGTTGCAAGAACTAATGGAGATCACGCATATGGGTGATTAGCAAGTAATGGTGCTCGGGAGACATCACTTATTCATCAGAGCAGCAGCACGTGGACACCGTCTGGCTGTATTAAGGCAAGGGGTTATTTCCCACACATTCTAGCATCCCCTCCTCTTTGAGGTCCCGGTCAATAAAATTTCTTGTCTTGGCTGGCGGGCTGCTTGGGCTTTTTTCAGGGGCTCCCCTCTGACCACATCTGTGATTGATCAGCAAAACGAGCCTCCGGGCAGAGAAGATTAAATGCGTTCTGAAGACCTCAGCCCTTGATCACCAGAAAGTTCCCTTTCCCCTCCCAGCGATAACCACTTTGCCTGCTGCAGAATTCATGGGAGCAGGATGTAAGCTACCCCACGCCACGCTCGGCCCAGTTTGAACCCCAATACATCTTTGAGATGTAAAGGTTATACACGTTGACCCGCGTGAGGGAGAAAATGACAAAATTTAATCATAGATGCCCTATGCACAGTGGCCAGGAAGAATCCTGTGAACCGGGCATCTGAGAAGCAGAGGAGAGGAAAGGCCGACGTTTCCTTTAATGCCCTGCACGCTTGCTGTCGCTGTCACCCCTACACACCAGCAGGCAAAAGAGGCGGCACCCGGGACCAATGACAACAGCCAGTCGGTCTCCCAGTGACGCCCCCTTCTCCTCGAAACCATCCCAGGGGGCGCGAGCGGCGCGGGCGGGAGGCGGCGGGTGAGGCGTGTGCAGCGAGCCCGTCTCCACGAAAAGGAAAAGAAGAGGGCGTGCACCCGGCGCGGAGGACAGCGGGCGCAGCAGCCCTCTTGCCGACTCGGATTCGGTGACTTACTTGCGGAGAAGTTGGCCTCGGTGTGGACGGGAGGGGTGGAGGGCAGGAAGGGCGCATGTCCCACGAAGAAGGAGCGTAGGGAGCGCTCGGACAGCAGCGGGGAGCGCTGCTGGGAGGGGATGTTCTCACAGCTGCCCACGCTGCTGTGGATCTTGAGGTTCAAGGGCTTGCTTTTCTTCTTGGCTCTGAAAGCGAGACAGAAAAAGAAGAGAGGGCAATGTATCCCTACGCACACAAAGTGAGAGCAGGGGGACCCAATCTCCTCAACGTGGCGCCCAATACCCCCACCCCCACCCCCCGCCTCCATCTGGCCCTGCCTCTCTCCCCAGCTCCTTCCCACTGGGCTCCAAACACATTTTCTGTGCGGCTTCTCACCTTCACCTCTTAGCTTATGCTTCCCCATCACCTGGAAGACCCTCCCGTTCTTTGCCTGGTCAATCCCCATCTGTCTTGTATAACTCTGGCTCTGGCGTTCCCTCCTCCAGGAAGCCTTCCCTGATACTCCCTCTTCCCTCCTAGCGTGGGTTGGGTGATCCTCCTCCATTCTCCTAAAATAAAGTTACGTATCTATCTATCTATCTGTGGCTGCACGTCCCTATTTTCCCCAAATTTGTTCTTTTAAATTTTGTCTCCCACATGGAATGAGTCTTTGATAGCAATGACTCATATTGTTCGTTTCTCTGTCTTTGGCAACTAGCACAGAGCCTGGCACACAGCAGGTGCTCATTAGACTCACTACATGATCAGTCTGGATTGAGACTGGCACTAATCACACCGCGCTCTAATTCACCGTCTTCCACACCTGACTGTGAGCAACTTAAGGGTAGGAATCTGTGGTTTTTGTCTTTGGCGCTCTCAGCCCCTAGCTCAGCACCAGCCAAATAGAATATACTTCTAGAACTGGTTTTGAAACATTTCTCCCCCTCCCAAGGAGTTTAGGTGATTGGTTTAGGAGAGTTTGGTTTAAAACTCCATCCAAAATTAACCTCAGGACTCTCCTTACCCTCTTCCCCCAATGCCCCATTCAGTTCTGGGCGGGAGTTGGGCGCCCTCTTGTGGCCAAAGCGAACCGGCCTCGCAAATTTTCACCGTTCGGGATGGAGCGCCCAGGAAGGTGTGTTCATTTAAGACTAGAAGCCTCCCACACAAGCAGCCTAAAAGTCAGCCTCTCCAGCAGGCCTGCCGCTCCTTGGCTTTAAGGAGTTCGAGCATGCCTGCGGAGTCGCCCCCTCGCTGGCAGCCCTGCTCATTATCTCCCCAGGGGTCTGCAGCAAGGCCCGGGAAGTTGCCTCCTGTTACAGCAGCACTCGATGGCTGGCTCACTCTCCCCGTGGCTGGAGAAGGGAGGGGGCAGGGGTGGCATTTCATTCCACGTGAGCGTCCAGTGGTGGAGATGCAAAGAAGCGACTGCACCGAGGGAGTGTAAGGTAGGAGTTAAACTCACAGGCTTTAGGGCTGGGGAGACAGGAGCTCGAGTCCTGACTGTCGTCTCAGGAAAGTGAGCACACCTCTTCGTGCCTCAGTTTCCTCAGCCTGGACAATGGGGAAAATCACAGTACCCGTTTAAGAAGGACGCTGTGACAATTCTATGAGATCAGGTGCTTGGCACGGGATCCAGCACAGAATGAGGGTTTAGGTGACCTGTTACTAACGTCCCTATGACCAGGTTAAACTGGGTAACTGTATAGCACGGAATTAACCTTGAAGGAGCCAAAAATTGAAGCTATGCCATGCTTTCCACCTGAAACAGCTAGCAGCATCCTCCACCCACCACTACCTTTGGCAAATGAAGAGGATGCAGAACCCTCTGGCGATAGATACCACGATTATCTCCAAAACAAGATGGGAGCCTTGAGGCACAAGCCACCAAGTGTGAGGCTAGATCCCTCGTACAAGGAGAGCCAAATCTAATCCAGCACAAGTGTAACAGTAGCTCGATGCTGCAGAGCATCAAGTTCCCTTCACTTATGGCCACCGATGGAGCAGAGAAGGGGTGTGTATAAATGTTAGCTGGACAGATGAGCGGATAAAAGGATGGATGGATGGATGGGTGAATGGATGAATAAAAAGGTGGATGGGTGGATGGATAGGGGGAAAGGGGAAAAAGTGGAAGGATGGAATGAATGAAGGGCAGAAAGGATGAGAAGATGGAAGGATGGGTAAGAGGAAAGAGGAGGTGGGAGGATGGGTGGAAGGAAGATTGGATGGATGGATGGAAGGGTGAAAAGGTTGAAGAATGGAAGGATGACAGATGGATGTATGTAATGAAGGAGGAGAGGAGGGCAGGACGGAAAGATGGATAGAAGGAAGTCAGGAAGAGAGACTACGAGGAAGAGAAAGTGGGTGGATAAATGGCTATTTGATCAGAGAAGGTGGAAGGAAATCCTTTATCTCTTCCCACCCACCAAGGAAGTCTTTATGGACAGGATGTAGGATTCACTTTTACCATCTGCCCTCATTACCCAGACACGCTCGGAGGGGAAAACAGACACAAATGACTGTGTCTGATGACTGTGACTCTGTACTAAAATGTAGTGGATATTTTGCAGTATATCCCGCAGATGCAATTAAAAAGAACATCCTCTCCATGATCTTTGCAAGATATATTAGGTCTCTATTACATAAATGTCTTTTCTGGAAATGGGGCTGATTCTGGGGAAAACAGCAAAATGAGGTGGCATGAAGCACTGGCCGGGGCAGATCCATCCCCTGAAGCTGTGTCAGCCCTGGATGGACATGCTGCTTTCTGGATGGACAGCCAAGCCAGGGCTCGTGGACATGGCGGGCTGGACCACAATCTGTACCTAGGAAAATGTGCTTGTTTACAGGAAAGAACCATTCCAGTCTTCCCACCTTCCTGATGCCTAATTTACATAGAATAGGACCCTGAGAATTCTTACCTCTTCAAATTGGTTCATTACTTTTCATCTCTAGCCTCACAGTTCTGGTCCAAGCCATCTTCTCCCTCTTAATTGAACTCCCAATTCCACTTTTTTTTCCTTTTGCTTCACTTTTTTTTTGTATTGGGGTAAGATTCACATAATATAAAGAAGTAAGCATTTTAAAGTGAACAAATCAGTAGCATTAAGGAGCCACAATGCTGTGCAAACACTACCTCTATCTAATTCCAAAATATTTTCCTCCTCACAAAACGAAACCTTGTACCCATGAAGCAGTTACTCTCCATTCCCCTTCCCTCCAGGCCCTGGCGACGACTGATACGTTTTCTATCTCTAAGGATTTGCTTGTTCCTGGTATTTCATATAAATGGAATGAATCATGTAACATGTAAACTTTTGAGTCTGACTTCTTTCACTTAGCATGTTTTTGAGGTTCATCCACAGTGTAGCATGTATCAAAAATCATTCCTTTTAATTGCTGAATAATACAAGCCCACTTTTGTTTCTTTATAATGTATTTTCCACCCAGCAGCCAAAGGTTTAAAGATTGTACATTGCATCATATCATTCCCCTGCTTAAAAACCTCCAAAGGTTTTCTATTGTTCTCCCTTCTTGTGGCTTACAAAAGTTTCAGAGGACCATCAACACACTCTCTCTACCTTCTCCTTGGACCATCACCTTGTCACTCTCCGACTCTGGTCATCTCTCTCGTCATTGACCACACCAAGTTCTTATCTGCCTCAGGGCCTTTGCACATGCTGTTCCCTCTGCCTGGGACACTATTCCCCATCCTGCCTGTTAGTGGAGACTTACTCACCTTTAGGCATCGCTTCTTTAGAGACACTGTCCTCAACCCTCAGAACCAGGTCAGCTCTCCAGGCTACGTGCGCTCCCAGCACTGTCTGCTTTTTCTCCTGCCTCCCCATGTGAATTCTGCATTTACTTTGTGGTTCCTGAATGTCTGTCTCCCCCAGGGCCTGTGCTCATCACATACAAGGGAAGCGCCTGTATGTTCAGCAGCTGACACAAAGCAGGCACCCCTCAGTGGCAGAGCCAAGATCAGAAGTCCATGTGCCCCAGCTCAGACTGGGACAATCTGACCTCCTCCATCTGGGGGGAGGTCTAAAGGACTGTGACCCAGTTTCGATCTGTGAGTCAGGAGGACTGTCTGTCAGCATCTTCCCAGTTAATTCTCACCTATGGGCTCCTTGAGGGCAGGTACGCACCTTATCTCTTTGGCCAGCCGCTGGCCACCTCTGCCGAGCCCTGCAGACAGCTCTGCACTCAGAATGCACTTCACCCGTGCGCATCTGCCAGCCTGCCTCTCAGAGCCTTCTTCACAGAGGCTGCCAAGGGACGTCCCAAACTGGTAAGTAGTCTTTGCACCATCTCCTCTTCCAAAAGTTTGCTGGATTTTAAGTTAAGCCAACTCGCTGGCTCACGTGGCCCCTCAGCCTCCTCAAGGGTGGGGCTATGTCCCCTTGAACTTGAAAGCCTTCACCGGCCAAATTCCTCAGCATCTCATGAACGGGGCCCGGGGCATCTGGCCCTGCCGACTGGGAGGAAATGACAGGGCTGGGGACAGACAGGCTCCTCGCAGGCGCAGCAGGAGGACAGACACAACATACACTCTGATATACCCCTTCTGGCTAAGCCAGTAGCCATCTCCCCAAACAGTAAAGAGTGGCCACTGGTCTAACCCGGGGCTGCGTGAGCTGCCCCTCCCTCTCAGATCAGGCCATTTAAATCCTCTGCAGTTGGCCTGATCTGATGACCCCAGTGGAGACCTCCAGGGAAGAGCCTTTCCAAAACCAAAGAATAACACCAGTTCTTGGGTGAGAAGAGGTGTGGGTGAGGGGAGTAAGGATTCCCCTCCGCCTAGCTGCTCAGAGCCTGTGGAAGGGGTGGGGTTGGAAAAGCGAGGGGCTGTTTACTGAGAATCCACTCTGCTCCTTGGCCACAGGCAACGACCCTCATTCCTGGCTCAAGCATGCCCCGAGTGTGGCAAGAATCACCAGGAGCCCTGGCCAAATAAAAAAAAAAGGTGCACCGATGAGTCGGTGGAACAGCATAGGATGCATTTTCCCCCAGGTGTGGAGGAATAGGCAGTGTGCTTAGATGAGACACACTTGCATTTTTGTAACTTAACAGTTAATATTTGAAATACTGACTTTGCACATCAAATCCATAATTTTGTGCTGTTATTTCCCAGTAGACAGTCTTACACAAAATATACTGGGAACGAGAAAAAGAGGAGGAAGAGGAAGAGGAAGAGGAAGAGGAA